CCTAACACTGCAGATTTGATGGATGGTCTCACCCTGATCCTGGGTCAAAGCCATTGTGTTGTAGATTTGGCCAGTGCCTTCTTCACTGCTATTGTGTTGGACACTTAGAACCTTCATCTGAGAGGACAGGCAATGGACCTTCTAGATGTTGCCTCAAGGCTAACTGAATAGCCCAACTTTGTGCATTGGCTTGATGTCCAGAACCTGGTCACCTGGACCACGCCACACTCAGTTGTCACTGTTGCATTATATTGATGATACTATGTTAACCTCTAGTTGTCTTGCAGATTTGGAAGCCATTATGCACAACCTGACAGACAGTGTGCTTGCCTGAGGTTGGGCCATCAATGAAGACAAGGTCCAGGGACTTAGCTTGCCTGTCAAATTCTTGGGTGTTATCTGGGCAGGTAAGACAGAAGTAATTCCTAATGCCAAATTGATAAATCTAGGCATATCCCAGACCATGACAGTATGCCAATTATAGGTGTATGTGGTCTTGCTAGGTCTTTATATATACCGTACTTAGCTACCTTGCTGTAGCCCTTACACCAGATGACCAGAAAGCAAGCAACACAGGACTGGAAAGATGCAGCATAAATTCCTTTTCAGGACTCAAAAAGGACAGTTGCACAGCTACAAACTCTTTGGGTCTGGATCTTACTTTGCCATTTACACTAACAGTGAGTATAGATGATGCTGGGTTTGGGGCCAAAACAAGGGAAGCAGAAGCACCCTATTGGATTTTAGTCACAGTTATGGAAAGGAGTTAAAAACCAGTATTCTCTGACTGAGAAATAGCTAGCAGCAGTGCACACTACTCTGCATACCTATGAGAGAATCACAGGGCAGCAGTCAGTAGAAGTATAGACTAAATACTTGATTGAGGGAGGGATTTGTACATGATATCTCATCCAAAAATTGGAGTGGCCCAGGCCTCCACTCTCATAAGTTGGTCCTCTTTCTCATCTAGCCCCACTGGCACCTAAGGGGGCTACAGTTTGGGTCCAGCGAAATACATGGCACAGGAAACTGTAGAAGATGATGGCTTATAGGTCATGACATCAAGCCCTGATGCAGAAGGGAAACAGGGATCACTGGCTGAGACTTGCTACACAAATAGGTCCAGCTGAGGCACAACCCCACAGTGGATGACAGTTGCTATCCAATGCAGTACAAAAATTCTCTGGTTTGAAACCAGAACAGGTAGGTTGAGTCAATGGGCAGAGCTGCAGGCAGTGTGGCTACTTGTGATGAACAGGAAAAGTTTTTAAAAGTTTGTTCTTTTGAAACTGCCTAACTTTGTAACTGCTCCATGGCTTTGTAATTACCTTCTTGACCCCTGTAACCACGAGAATGTAATCGAACATACAAGATACCCAAAGGTACCACACTGAACCAAGTTCTTTTAACCATGATCTCACCCTGCCAGCTAATCAGAACTGTCAGGCTGTTCTGTCTCACCTTGGTACCTCCTCTGTACCTCTTGCCTGTGCATCATAGAAAAGCTCTAGACCACCAGAAATTGCGGCCTGACCTTTTGGCAGTGATCCTGATCAGCGCCTATCAATGTAAGTAAATAAATCTGCCTCCAAATCCTGGATGTCATTTTGGTGTCTCTGCTTGCTACTGCAGTGATACATAAAAAAGGTCTTCTGTATGTGTGCATGGATAGTTATTTTCAACTTTTGCTTTATACTAGCGCCATCTCCACGTACTATGAGTTGTTCAACACGTTAGACTGGGGGGATCCACTGTGAAATAAAGCTTTCCCTTTCCCTGCAGAGTCTATTTTTCCTATTCCCCTTAAATGCTTATGTTTCATTGCCCTGCATCTTTAGTGTTATTCTCATTATATCTACAGTTTCCTTGTGCAAAGCCATCTAGTTCCAAACCTCAACTATCATCTAAGCCAGCAAATCTGTATCTTGGGTCCTTCTGAACTCCCAAGGTACCAATCCCACATGTTAAACTGAGCAATGAATATCCTTCAGTTACATATAAAATGTTCAAAATTAAACTCATCCTCCAAGTCTGTCTCTACTTCTGTTTTAGATCTCTCAAGCACTGATGCAAGTTGTTTACAACAGAAGAAACCCAGGAGTCATCTTAGATATTTCCATCTGTCTTAAACTCCTTAAACTCCTCATCCACCCTCAACTATCCCCAATACTTAGTTCAGATGTTGGGTTTCTTTGATTATTTAACTGCTTCCTAATTTCTTTCTCCCTCCAATCTTATTCCCTTAAATCTAGCCACATAACATAACTATATGTTACTTGATTTAGCCATATGACCGCACTACCTAAAACATTTCAAATGGGCTGTTGCTGTAATTCAGTGGTAGAGCATGTGGCTAGCAGGTGTGAGGCCCTGGGCCAAACAAAAACTTTAAGTGAATACATAAGAAACTTCAGCTGGGTGTGGTGATACAAGTCTGTAGTCCTACTTATTCAAGAGGCTAAGGCAAGATTGCTTGGACCTAGGAGTTTGAAACCAACACTGGTAAGAGAAAGAGATACTATCTCAAAAGAAAGAAAGAAAATAAGTAAATCAGTCACTTCACAGATATCTCTAGAGGGAATTGGGGACTTTGGGGCAAAAAAACAAAAAAACTTATCTAGGCCTACAGGTTCCATTTGACACAGCTGTTCCCCTCGTTGGTCTCAAAAGAAATAAAAGCATCATACCACAGTGACATATGCACACCCATGTTTACAGCAGCAGACTGTAACAAATCTTGGAAACAGCCCAAATGCCCATCAACTGATGAATGGATAAAGAAGATATGTTTTTTTTTTTTTTAATACAGTGGAGTACCACTCTGCCATAAAGGATACACTCAAGACACTTCTAAGGTAAATGGATGCACCTTGAGACTATGCTCTTAAGTGAAATAAATGGGACATACATCTGTAAATACCAAATTGTTTCTCTGGCTTGAAAAACCAAAACTGTAAACAAGGACCAAAATGTATAATAAGTATTGTGAAATAGGAAGAAAATGTTTAAATGGGCAGGGAACCAAGAATGGGGTAGGGGAAAAGGAAAGAAGGGAAGAGCAAACAACAACAACAAAAACGAGGGCCAAAAAAAAAAAAAAACAAAAACGAGGGCCAGGGATTTGGCTCAGCGGTCTAAGCGCCTACCTGACAAACATGAAGTTGTGAGTTTGATCCCCAGTACCCCCAAAAAAAGAGAGAAAAGGAGGAAAAAATAAAACAAATTTTTGTAAATGGGGAGGGGAAGAGAGGCTCAAGGCAGGGTAGTGAGAAAAAAGGTCAAATTGTATCATGTACAGGTACAAATTCTCTATGATAAATATGATTATTACATACATCTAAAATGTACCGATAAAGTCTTGATAAAAAAAGAAAAATAGTTATCTTCCATTTTGGTGCTATTTGAATTGTTTACCAGTAACATACATTCAAAGTTTGACAACTCCCCCATGCCCACAATACAAAATACTATATGATCTGCCTGCTGTTATCTTTCAAATCTTTTATTCAAACCACTCCTGTCTACAATGCCCTTCTCTCATTTAACTGTCTGTGAATCCCATCGGACTCAGACTGCCTAAGAACAAGAAGTTTTTCTTATAGATCTTTGAATTTTGAGAGCTTGGTTACTGAATGAATCAAAATATCTAGTAGGCAGGGGTTAGACCAGGTGTCTTGAAAATGCTCCTCTGGTGATTCTAAATGCAATCTCCTGGTAATAGCTGCACTAAAAGCTGGACGTTGTGACTCACTTCTGTAATCCCAGCACTTGGGAGGCTGAGGCAGGAGATCACTGCAAGCTCAAAACCAGCCTAAGGCTACAAAGTGAGCCCAACACCAGCCTGAACTGAAGAGTGGAGACCCTGTCTCAAAAAGACAAAACAAACCAACAAAAAAAAACCTGAACTAAAATATAAACTTCTAGAGCTTAGGGATTACTACAATCAGCATAATGTAGGTGCTCAATAAATGCTTGACTAAACTGAAGTGGACACTACATAAAGGTTGAGGGAGGACAGCTTGGGCTACAGCTACGGAGGTGGCACAGTATGTGTGCAAGTGAAGAGCAAGAGGAATAAGAAAGTCAGGGAGAACATTTTTACCATGCCATACCTCTAACTGCAGAAGTCTCATTTACATGTTTTTACTACTAGTCTGTGAATTTCTCAAGTACAGAACCTTGGGCCTACTCATCTCTGTACACAGAAGAAGCTCTATAACCTTTTACTAAATTGAGTGACAATGACAATAAATAAAGCAGGGTTCAATATTCCAGGGCTACAGATGGTCTTGGTAGTGTGTGCCTGCGATCCCAGCATTGGAAAGCAGAAGCAAGAGGTCACCACGAGGTCAACCTGGACTACTGATGGCCAGCCAGCACTACAAACCGAGACTCTGTCTCAAAAAACAAAAGAAAAGAACTGAGACTCAAGACGATGCTTAGTCTGTGTATAATGGGAAGTTGACAAACCCGAATGGAGGCTTCCATCCCTGGGACAGAAGGGAAGGGAGTTATGTGTTCTAGAAAAACCCAAGATTGATTGATTTTGGTACCGGGGATCGAACTCACGACTTCGCGTTTGCCAAGCAGGCACTTAAGCCGCTGAGTTAAACGCTCGGCCCAAAAAATATAAGATTTAAATCAAGCGCCCTGTCAATTCTGAAGCCTGATAATCACAACACTCGTATCTTTTTTTTCGGAGAACTGGATGGTAGGCTGCAACTGGAAATTCCACAGAACCTCTGCTCTACTCTTGAAGTTTCCAGCTTCCAAGCATTACAGCCGCGCCCCGCCAAAGGCCCAGGGGCGCAGAGCTGCACAACCCGGAACAGATAGCTCCCGAGCCCGGGACGGCGCTGCGCATGCGCGTCCACAGTCACATCCCGCCCCCTGCCCTTCGACCAGGTGGCGGGAACGCAAACTGCACAAGACTCAAGCTATCTTCTGCAGTTCTGAAGGGACACGAGCCCACCCAGAGCCCTGTGGCCACACTCACTCACCCACTCCCCGGGGATCCTCCGGAGCCCCACGGAGCCAGCAGCCCTCAGGCGCAGCTCTGCAACCTTTCCCGCCACAGGCTAGGCGAGACCACTACCGCCTGTTCTGTAAGTGGGGCGGGGCGAGTCGGGCAGGTCCACTTGCTCCAAGCGAAGGGGGGGGGGTTGGTGATCAGGTAAGGAAAGGGGAAGTGATCATAGGGTTCTTTTATCTGAGTCGATCTTCTGTCTGGACCGAAATGCTACAGGGCTAAGAATTTTCTGTTGGATTATAATAGGCGTCAAGGTCCGATTAGAGGCGAATGTTTTTAGTGAGGTGGACTATTCTATCCTTTCTGGTAAAGTGGACTATTCCAAAGCCTTAAAAGGTGAGTTAGACAAGTTGTATTTTATTTGGAAGAGGAGAGCTCAAGTATTGGTAGGAGTTAGAGTTGTCTCATACTATCGATATCAATTGAACGCTTGTGAGGTTTGCTGGAGGCTCATAAAAGAAAAAAGAAGATATCAGTAAGTATTCCTTGTTCAACTGAGAGTCCCCTGACTCTGCCAAAGTGGTGTATTTTGCCAACAGTAAAACAAGATAGGGCTCCAAAGAATTATCACTTGGATTACTAAGCATTTAAATAGAAGAAATAAGTTTCTGAGGTATTAGGGAGACTTAGCAGAGGTTTGCTGTGAAATGAAAGGACAGATAAAAAATAAGACTAGAGCTAGTGATAAAAAATGATAGATGCCATTTGGAGAGCGTCTGGATTTGCTCTAAATATATTTTTGTTTGTTTTTTGAGACAGTGTCTCATTTTGTAATGTGGACTGGCCTCAAACTCGGCAGTCTTGCAGTCTCATCCTCCTGAGTGCTGGGATTACAGACGTGTGCGCTACTACACCCAGCTGCTCTAAATAAATTAAATCAAAGCTTCTTTGCCCCCTGTTCTCTACTAAATTTGCGCCAGGAGTTAGATTGTCTGGTTTGATCCTTGGGAGCAATTCTGAGGTATAAATGCCATTGCCAGGGGATATGAAGCAGCTTAATTTTCTAGATTCTAGGTTTGCCCACCTCCTATTTAGGTTGGGAGCTCTGTCCCAGGGCCTTCTAGAGATCCATTACATCAGAATGAACAGACAACCCAGCCAGTGGATGTAGACAGGTTTATGTGGCTTTACACAACAACTCAAATCCCAGTGTTCACTTTTCTCAGAGCCACTTTTGCACCCAAGTCTTTGGGACAAGCATCCCTGAGATAAGTAGACTACATTCTCCCACTGGCTCCCCCAAAACTTTTAGGTACACTTGCATGTGGATCTGAGGCTAATACCTCAGCTATCATCCCCTCTTTTGAGTGCTTTCTCCCAAAACTTGGAATGCTTTGTCTTCTCCACCTCTCTCCAGGTGCCTTCATGGAGGAGTAACTCCCTACCTCCTCAGTCCCTCTGAAATAAGGGCCATAAACTTGAAAAGAAGGTAAAGGCCAGAACCCTAACCCTAAGGTTCCCTGTGCTCACCACACTGGGCCGGAGGAGGGACATATATGTTGACACTTCTTTTCCCTTCCCTAGCTCCTGTGCCCCAAAATTCTGACATGGCCACACTCACCCACATTCATACACACAATCTTGCCCACACGGCGAAGGAAGGTGGGATGGGGAGGAAGGGAAGTTGGCACCAACCAGCTCATGAATGCAACTTGAAAGATTTCACACAGCAAAAGGGGGAAAAACACACACATAAGTTAAAAAAAGAAAGAAGTACGTGCCCTTCCCCACAGTCTCATTCTTCATCCAGGCACTGGCTTGGCCCCTCCACAGAAACCCAGCTTTCTACTCCCCCACTCCAGCAGAAACTTTTACAGGGCCTGGGTCTTCAGTTCAACAGGTTCCCCAGTGCCCTCTGGTTGTCCATTGTTGTCACTGGGTCTGGTACCCTTGAGAATAGACAGTCTCTCAGAAACACTCTTGAGCCGGGGGAAGAGCAGAAAGTCGTAGAGAAGGCTGCCCAGACCCCCTCCAATGATTGGGCCCACCCAGTACACCTGTGGGAAGAGAACAGAAACGCTCAGGCTCAGGAAAGGGAGGGAGAAACCAGGCTGCTGCTTTTTTTTTCCTAACTCCTTCAGTGGATCAAGACATTGTACAGTTTTCACATGCATCTGAATTTTATCTAAGAAGAAACCATTGTGAGGTTTTATTTGTGTGGTGATACACATTAAACCCAGTGCCTCACACATGCTAAGCGTATACTCAATCATTGAGCTCCAATTTCAGTTTGTTTTTAAACTCCTCCGTCCTTCCAAACTCACCATTTCTTTTCTGACTTATTGTTAGTCCTCTGTCTCATACCTTCTCACACATATATATTTTTATCTGTCATCAGTTTGCAATACTTTCAAAATTTTGGGGATGGTAAAATATACTTTATAACAAAATTTATCTTACTACTTTTAATCATGCAGTTCCACAGTGTTAAGTATATTCACATAGGGCTGGGGATATAGCTCAGTGGCACAGTGCCTGCCTGGCATGTGCAAGGTCCTGAGTTCAATTCTCGAATCCAAACAAAAATATATATTCACATAGTTGTACAACCCACTTGCAAAATTTTTTCTATTTTTAAAACTGAAACTTCATAGTCATTAAATAACTAACTATTCACCTTGTATCCAGCCTTTGGCAACCAACTACCCTTTTATCTTCTGTTTTTGTGAATTCAAGTACCTCATATCAGTGAAATTATATAGGCATTTGTCTGTCTATGACTGACTTATTTCATTCAGCAAAATGTCTTCAAGGTTTACCCATTTGTAGTATGTGTCAGAATGTCCTTCCTTTTTAAGGCTGAATAATATCCCAGGTATGTATAGACCACATTTTGTTTGTCCTTTCACCCAGCAAGAGACACTAGGGTTTGCTGTCACCTCTTGATTATTGTGAATAATGCTGCTATGAAAATGGATTTACAGGGGCTGGGGATTTAGCTCAGTGGTACAGCACCTGCCTGGCAAGCATAAGGTCCTGAGTTTGATTCCTGGTACAAAAAAGAAAATGGGTTTACGGCCTTGTAGATTTTTTGTTGTTGTTGTCTTTTTAAGAAATGGTCTCACTATGTAGTTCAGGCTGACCTTGGGCCCACTTTGTAGCCCAGGCTGGTCTTGAACTTGCAGTGATCCACCTGTCTCAGCCTCCTGAGTGCTGGGATTACAGGAGTGTGCCACCATGCCCGGCTTGTAGATTTTTTTTAATCTTTTTTTTTTTTTTTTTTTTTTTTTGTCTTTTTTCTTTTTTTAATCAGTACCGGGAATCGAACTCACGACTGCCTGCTTGCAAGGCAGGCGCTTATGACGCTGAGCTAAATCCCCAGCCCCTTTTTAAAAATCTTACATATGGCCAAAACAACATAAATGAATGATAGATTCTGTGCTAATGTTTTGTGCACATAATTTTCACACTTATTTCTCATAACACTCCATTTTATAGTTGGAGAAACAAGGCTCAAAATAATTGAATTATTGGGGCTGGAGACTTAGCTCAGTGGCATAAGCCCCTGCCTTGCAAGCAGGCAGTCGTGAGTTCCATCCCCGGTACCGATAAAAAGGAAAAAGACAAAAAAAAAAAAAAATTGAATTATTTACTAGTGGCCACACACAGACTAATAAAGTGTGAGAAATGAGATGGGGGCCAGACCATATGGCACTTATACACATCCTGAGTTATGAGAACAGAAGTTTTTGACTTTTATATTTAGCCAGAAAAGGAAAAATGTGAACAAGAACCTTTTCTGCTCTGTTTTGTTCTTCCTTTCCTTTTTCCTCTCTCTTTCTCTCTGTCTCTGTCTGTCTCTGTCTCTGTCTCTCTCTCTCTGTCTCTCTCTCTCTCTCTCTCTCTCTCTGTCTGTCTGTCTGTCTGTCTCTCTCTCTCTCATTTGTTTTTTTAAGAGAGGCTCTTGCTATATATAGTTCAGGCCAGCCTTGAATTTGCAACAATCCTGCCTCACCCTCCCAAGTGCTGGAATTACAAGCATTCACCACCATGCCTGGTCTCTCTCTGTCTGTCTCTCCATCTCTCTGTCTCTCTTTCAGTCTCTGTCTCTGTCTCTCTCTCTCTCTCTCTGTCTTTCTCTCTGTCTCTGTCTCTCTCTGCCTTTGTCTCTCTCTCATAATAAAAGATTTAACTATATTGCCCAGGCTGGACTTAAACATCTGGACTCAGATCATCTCATACCTCAGCCTCCAGTACTGGAATCATGACTCTTAACTAAGATCTTTTTCTGGCAAAATATTGTAACCTGTTCAAACAGGCATATCGTGCTCTTCAAAGCCCCCTTAGCTGAGTGCTGGCCTGGCAGCCAGTATATCCAAAAGGAAAACAGGAACCAAACCTGGAACCTTCTTGTCCCTTTCCCCTCACTCACCCAGTGGTTGGTGAAGTTCCGAGTAAGAATGGCAGGAGCAAAGGAGCGGGCAGGATTCATGCCTGCACCAGTATAGTACATCTGCAAGAGACATAGTTGTAAGCCAGGCATGATGGCACATTCCATTATCCCAGCTCTTGGGAGGCTGAGTCAGAAGGACCGCCAGGAGTTCAAAGCCAGTCTGAACCATAAAGTAAGTTCAAGGCCAGCCTGAACTACATGGCAAGACTCTGTCTCAACAACAATAAAGGGGGGAGGGGGAGAGAAACAGTTGTAACTGAGAACTCCCCACCCCTTGCTCCCAGCTTCTCATCATAGCCCACATGGCCCTGAGAGCTGGTAATGTGTTTCCAGCCAGCAGCAAGTAGGAAAAGACAACCTACATGACAACCTCCATTCCCAGATGATGGACTCACAGGCAAACCCCAACCCTTCTATCGTGTGCATTTCTACCTGCAAGTTGGGGGCTAAACACAGTAATTACAACAAAAGGGTAGAGCAGCTTGAGTCCTTTGTGCCAGCTGACAACAGGTGGATCACAGTCATGTTTGACAGTGGAATGGGCAGGAAGAATCCTTAAAAACTGGAGAAGCGGGGCTGGGGATTTAGCTCAGCGGCATAAGCACCTGCCTTGCAAGCAGGCGGTCATGAGTTCAATCCCCGGTACCAATAAAAATGAAAAAGACAAAAAAAAAAAAAAAAAATTGGAGAAAGTCTGAGGGCCCTGAAACCCTTGAGCAGGAAGTTGCTCCCCTATACTACTTACCCCAAAAAGGTGTCCCAAGGTGAGGGAGAAGCCAACAGCTAGAGCAACAGAGCCCAGGCGGCCGTTTCGCCTCTCATCGTATGTGGCAAAGATGCAGAGCACGAACTGGAGTGTCAAGAAGATCTCCACTGTGGTGGCCTGGCCAACACTCACCCCAGCGTGTAACTGGGCAAAGGAAAAAAAAGGAGGCAGCTCACCAGAGCTGCCACAGCATTACCTCCTTAAGGCTTCCCAGCCAGGCAAGGACTCTCTTCCGGCCTCAGTTCCTTGGAGAAGATGGCTATACAACCCCCTTCATTATAATTATATTCGTATCTTAATTTCTTCCAGGAGTACTCTTTTGTAGTAGAAATTATTGTACCCAGTTATGTGGAAGAGAAAATTGAGGTCCTGTAAGGTAATTTATATTTCCTTAAGAACATGAAAGGAATTGGAAGTAAAGCTGGAATCCAAAATCAGTCTTTCTGATTTAGTCCATAGCTGTATGGTTTTTTTTTTTTTTTTTTTTTTGTCTTTTTCATTTTTATCGGTACCAGGGATCGAACTCACGACCGCCTGCTTGCAAGGCAGGTGCTTAGCTAAATCCCCAGCCCCAGCTGTATGGTTTTCTTATCCCTCCAAGTTGCCTGTTGATGCTCCCAATCTTAAACACACACACACACACACACATATACACATAAATACACAGGCACACACATGCCTGCATAACATATAAACATACATGCAGGGTTTTTTTTTTTTTTTTGTCTTTTGAGACAGGGTTTCACTGTACAGTTCAGGCTGTCCTTGAACTCACTTTGTAGCCCAGGCTGGCCTGAAACTCACAGTGATCCTCCTGCCTCAGCCTCTCCAGTACTGTAATTAAAGATATGCACCACCACAACCAGCCCCCCCACACACACACACATTGTACCAGGCAGGGAATCAGGGAAACAGAGCAGGTCACCAGGTTCCCCTAGCCCGTCAGCCAACCATTACCGTGTTGAGTGCGAGGTTTCCTCGGACAGCAGGTGGGGTAACACTGTACAGTACAGCAGCCCCAGCCACAGCCCCCAGGAGCTGGGCTGCCATATAACAGAAGGCTCGGAGCAGGGACATCTGGGAGCCCACAAGGAAGGCAAAAGTCACTGCAGGATTGACGTGGGCTCCGCTGATGTGGCCCACTGTCTGCACCAATGTAGCCAGGGCCAAGCCAAAGGCCAAAGCCACCTGCAGGACATGCAGGGGTCCGGGGGCCCAGCGCAGTGAGGCCCCAAGCCCAAAGAAGACATAGAAAAGGGTAGCAAAGAACTCAGCAAATATGGCCCTCCAGAAGGAGGCAGATCGCAGTTCCCACATGGCAAGGGGGATGGGTATGGTGCCTGGGTCCCTGACACCCCCTTGGCTTGCTCTGAACAGCCCCCTTTATAGAGAACTAATCCCTGGGAGGGGCAGGCTCAGGCAGCTGGCCTGGCCTCTTAACCCCTGAAATGCTGCACACGGCTGAAGTCTTGCTCATCTGATAAAGCTGCTGGGTTTTTCCTTCCTTCCTCAATAGGGAGGTGATCCCAGACAGCCACAAACCACAAAGATGAGAGACATGTGGACGAGGGGACAGGAAGACTCTGTCCTTCTGTTTGTGTCAAAGTTGGGGTTCATAGTGCTGATTGACATCTACATTAGAACAGTCCTTAAATTTTGGAAGTTCCATTCAACTGAGTTCCCTTCGTGGGGTATACAGCTGTGCTTCTGGGGGCATTGGGCTTCTCTGAGTCTGGCAGGGGTAAGGGCAGGGGTAAGGGGGGGTAAGGAGTGGGGTTCAGAGGGGAAGTTGGATAACCGAAGAGAATTCTTTAGTTCTCTGGGATTAGAGGGCCTTCTCCTATTGGCTGATTTGGGCTGGAATCTGTGGACCCTGCAGCTCTGGAACAGAATAGTTCTGCTGTGTCTGGCTTTCTCCAAACCCGGGTTCCCTACCCCCACCCCATGCTAGCACCTTCCTTTCCAAACCCTCAGCCTGGCCTTTTAAACAGAGACGAGGAAGGAGTTATTCTCCATGTGTAGGCCAAGAGTGTACTTGGAACCTAGGAGGAAAGGGGTCGGTCAGTAGTGTAAACCTGCAAGTTGGGTGGTATTTCATCTTTCCTAAATTCACAAAGTCATGGCTGGAAATGGTGAAAAGAAGGAAATAAAATGATAGGTATGAAAAAATGTGTAGATTTCACGTCCTCTAACACAACCATGACCAGGTCACTGGAATCCTAACTCTCCATGCCCCTCTAACCCATCTATGTGCAGGAAAAATTGCTGAGAACATAAGGTACCCAAGGAGACAGGTACTCCTGATTTCGTGAAAGAGAATCCATCACTATTCTTTGGAGTTTCTTGTAAGCTAGAAGCCCCACCGTTCCCTGATGTCAGGGCCAGTAACCCTTGCTGCATCCCACCCAGTGATGCACTCAGATCCTAGGACCTCAGAGAAGCTGCAGGATTTGTGCCACCTCCAGCAAACGTTCTAAATAGGAGAGTAACCACATGGCATTAAGGGCAGAGACTGTAACAACAGATACTTCAGTGTAGATGTGGTGAGGATACTGACAGTACCAAACACACACACACTCACACTTATACACAATTAGAAGTCTGGGGATGTAGCTCAGTAGCAGAGCACTTGCCTAGCATACATGAGATGTGTAAGGCCCTGGGCTCAAGAGCCAGTACCACAAAAAATTGGGAGGGGAGGAGAGAGAAAGGGAGAGGAAGGGAGGAAAGGGAAGAAAAAAAAATTGGCTGTGGTGGTGCATGCCTGTAATTCCAGCACTTGGGAGGCTAAGGCAAAAGGATTGTAACAAGTACAAGTTCAGCCTAAACTATATAGCGAAACCCTGTCTCAAAAAAAAAAAAAAAAAAAAGCCAAAGTTACAAAAAGTTATGATTACTGGTGGGAGCATAAATTTGGACAATCACTTTGGAACACAGAATATTACAAGTCTGTAAAGATTAACAAACACATATCTTCTTTTTGTTTGTTTGTTGTTTGTTTTATATAACAGAAATTCACTATATAGTTTGGGCTGCCCTTGAACTCACTATGTAGTCCAGGATGGTCTTGAACTCACACAATCCTCCTGTCTCAGCTTCCTAAGTACTGAGATTACAGGTGTGCGCTACCACATCCAGTGACACATATATTCTGATACAGGATTTTCATCTATATACCTAACAGAAGCATTCCTATATTTACATCAGAAGATATGTATGAAAATATTTAGAACTATTTTCTTCTTCTGGTCCCAAGTGCTTTACAACCATGGGTTACAGTGAAGATATGGCCATGTCCACGAATCATACCACAGTCACAGAAATGACTTCAAAAAACCCCAGTCATAGGCCAGGGATATAGCTCAGCTGTAGAAGCACCTGTCTGGCAAGTGCGAAATTCTGAGTTCAATCCTCAGTACCAAAAAACCAAAACAAAACAAAAACCAATCACAAAGATATGAATCTCTGAACGGCGGGATCCCAAGTTCCTGAGGCATACATGTGCCAAGCAGCTCAACTAAGGCTAAAGAAGAGGCAAGCGAACAATGCCAAGGCCATGAGTGCACATGCTGAAGCTATCAAGGCCCTTATTAAGTCCAAGGGGGTCAAGTCCAAGACCCCAAAGGGAGAGAACCACAAGCTCACTGGACTTGCCTGCATGGCCCACTCCAAGCTCAGGAAGGATACTTGTGCCCACAGTGCTGAAGGTCTCAGGCTTTGCTGGCAAGAGGCTCAAGCTCTAACTAAGGCCCAAGCCTAGGCTACCTCTCCAGTATCTGCTCTAGCTCAGGCTATCAAAGGTGTCCAACACCCCATGAAGGCTCCACAGTAAAGGCCTCTGTCTGTCTATGAAAGTGATATTGGGGAATGAAACTCTCAGGGTGATAGGAAACTATTTAGAATATCAGTACCTAGGATATAGATGTATTTGCTTGGTCTTCTGTCTTGAGGCCTGGCCCACAGAAAGAGATGTCTATCTCCCCGATAGTTGCAAGGTATCTGGGCTTCTGCAGTGGCTCCTTTGAGGACCCAGCCCTGTCTCACTGCCTATAGTATTTCTAACTCAGTTGCCTGCAACAAAAGGACAGAAGGACAGGTGTGACCCCTGGGCTGCCATCTGTGGGGTCTGGTGTCCTCCTGTGCTCTTTGTACAAATAAATCTGAAGCAGGAAAAAATATATATAAAGAAAGAATAGAGCAGCACTATTCATAGTGCTGTTGATGGTAATCAACAACAAAATGAAGGGATGAATAAAGCAGAATATAGTCACCCCCAGGAGGCTAAAGCAGGAGGATTGTGAGTTTGAGGCCATTTCTAGCTACATAGCAAGTTCCAAGCTAGTCTGGACTATAAAGCAAGACCCTGTCCAAAAAGAAGACTATTATTCTGCAGTCAAGATGAGTAAACCAACACAATGGCACTTAATAATAGGGATGGATCTTGGTAATAAGTTAGCAACAAAAAAAAAAGAGAGAAAAGTTCCAAAAAATTATGTATGACATAACCTTTTTATAAAATTAAAAAACAATTTAAATAAAAAAATAACTTTCAGAATACAAGTAGATGAGCTAAAACTACGCACACAAAAAAAGGATAAACACGAGTCAAGATAGTAAGTATATTTATTTTGGTTTAGAAGAAAAGGATGCAGGGCTGGGGATTTAGCTCAGCGGCATAAGCACCTGCCTTGCAAGCAGGCAGTCATGAGTTCAATCCCCGGTACCAAGAAAAAAGAAAAAAGAAAAAAAAAAGTGTAAAAAGAAGAAAAGCGGGGCTGGAGATTAAGCTCAGCGGCATAAGTACCTGCCTTGCAAGCAGGTGGTCGTGAATTCGATCCCCGGTACCGATAAAAATGAAAAAAGACAAAAAAAAAAAAAAAAGAAGAAAAGGATGGAATGGGTCATGGACATGGACATGGACATGGAGATGTGAGTTTCTATGACTGTCAAGGTTCTGCTTTTTCTGTTGACTTGATGGTTAGTAATGATATTCAGTCATTGTTAAAAACAAACATTGGGGGCCAGGGATTTAGCTCAGCAGCATAAGTACCTGCCTTGCAAGTGCATGGTTGCGAGTTTGATCCCCAGTACCAAAAAATAAAAAAATAAAAAAAATAAATAAATACTGGACCAGGGATATAGCTCAGTAGCATAGTATCTGCCAGGCAAACACAAGGTTATAAGTTCAATCCCTAGGGGGCTGGGGATTTAGCTCAGCAGCATAAGCACCTGCCTTACAAGCAGACAGTCATGAGTTCGATCCCCAGTACCGATAAAAAGGAAAAAGACCAAAAAAAAAAAAAAAAGTTCAATCCCTAGTATCCAAAAATAAATAAATAAACATGACTGGGAGTGTAGCTCAGCGGTAAAGCACTCAATTAGCATGCATGGGACCCCAGATTGGATTCCAGGACTTCAAAATAAGTAAATATTATGGCTTATGTCTAGATCTCCCCCAAAGCCTCATGTGGTCATAGATGGGGCTTTTTCAGGGTGGTTGGATCCAGAGTATGTGATGCTGGAATTGATTCATAGTGCAATGCTAGGATCAAGGGCACTAGGATTAAAGGTGTGCTACCCAACCTAAGTATAATGGATAAAATAAAAGAGGCAGAAAGCTGCTGCTAAGGTTCCTTGTTTTTGCTACCTTCTGCCTTGCCCCTTTGAATTGTTGCCCCTTTGCCATGTGCCATCCTGCCTTAGAGCCAGCCAATTATAGGCTGAAATTTCTATGAATTATAAGCCAAATAAACCTTTCCTAGCTGAGTGTGATGGCACACCTGTAGTGCCAGCATTTGGGAAATTGAAGCAGGAGGACTGCCATAAGTTAAAGACCAGCCTGGGCTACATGGGAAGACCCTGTCTCAAAAAACAACAAACAAAAATCCTTTTCAACTTTAACTTGGGTGTCAGATATTTTGTCTCAGAAACGAAAAAAATAAGACAGTAAGTAAATAAACGAATGCATAGATAAATACAGCCATATAAATGCCAGTGCAGAGGGGATATAATGAACAAATGAATATTCTGCGAAACCAAAATTCATAAATAACAGAGAACTGAGCATGGTGGTGCATACTTGGAATCTCAGCACTGGAGAGGCTAAAGCAGGACGATTGCTGTGAGTTTGAGGCCAGCCTCAGCTACATAGTGAGTTCATGACCAGTCTGAACTAGCTAGCAAGACTATGCCTCAAAAAGCCAAAAAAAGAAAGAAAGAAAGTCATTGTTAAAAATAAACATTGGGGGCCAGGGATTTAGCTCAGCAGCATATGTGCCTCCCTTGAATAGCAGTGATAGGGCCAGGTGTGTTAGCACACGTCCATAATTCCAGCATTTGGGAAATTGATGT